TAGGGGCTCCTGGCCATACTACTAGGAGCAAGAAGCTACTAGGAACGAAGGGCATCGGGAGCAAGAAGCTACTAGGAACAAAGGGCATCGTTACTAGAAGCAAGGACGCTACTAGGGGCTCCTGGCCTTGCTACTACTAGGAACAAGGGGCATCGCTACTAGGAGCAAGGATGCTACTAGGGGCTCCTGGCCATACTACTAGGAGCAAGAAGCTACTAGTAGCAAAGGCCATCGCTACTAGGAGCAAGGACACTGCTAGGGGCTCCTGGCCTTGCTACTAGGAGCCAGAATCTGGGCTACTAGGAGCAACAACGCTATTAGGTTGGAGGCCATCGCTACTAGGTTGGGTCTCCACTGCCTCCGAGGTGCTTTCCCTCAGCGCCCGCCGAGCTGATCAATCGCCTGGCTGCTGCCATGGATCGTGCCAAGACAGGCACCGCGGTACATCTCTGGAAGTCATTCATGCCAGACAAAGAGTCAACAAGACGTGCGTGGAAACGAGAAACGAGACGTTTAGGTGAGAAACCAACTCGGGTGCTGCTGCCATGTCGCTTGCATGTCCTGGCTCGAGCTGCTGGTGCTAGAAACCCCAAGCTGAAGCAGCAAAACTACTTGTGGCCACTTTCATCTTGCCATGTGGAAGTTAGCGCTGCTCTTGGTGCAGCTCCTGCACGTTCATTCGGAGACTGCTGCCTGCCTGGAGCCAGACCTGACTGATGTAGACCTCTTCGAGGTTGCCATGATGAAAGACGGGCCTGAAGAAGCACTTGAGCTTCTGCAGATCAAGAAGGCAGAGGCCAGCCAAACGCTGAATGTTCGAACATTCTTGTTGATCTAGCATGTTTTGAGTTGCCACCAGGAGTCCTTGCAGAACTAAACGGCCCTTTGGTCACACTGGAAAATGCGGAGATGTGACTCCATCCAATCTTTTAGAGAGATGCCCATGCGAGCGAAACAGTACCAGTATTTTGCCGTCATATGGCATGCATTTGCAATTGCAACTCTTCAGTCTTTCCTCCTAGCAGCCAATCTCGATGCTGGGGGCTGACTCGAAGTTAGGTGTATATCATCATGGGTCGCTTTATAAGAAATCACATCTCCATATATACCATTGCAGCCAGTAGTGCACCGTTGGGCACCCGTTCAGGACGCTTTTGGACCTTCCCCCTATGGCAATCCATATCGCAGACGTGGCTGGGGTCATCGTGGCTGGGGGGGCCGCCGTGGCTGGGGCGGCGGTGGCTGGGGCGGTGGTGGCTGGGGCCGCCGTGGCTGGGGCGGTGGTGGCTGGGGCCGCCGTGGCTGGGGCGGCCGCCGCTGGAGATGATGCTCAGGCTGGTTTCTGCAGAGTTTCAGTCTTTCGGCAGACTCTGTAACGGTTTCTGCATGTGCTTGCCTTTGCAGGTTTAGAAGGCTGCGTGGGTCTTTGAAGTAACCCAGCATGAGGCTATCAAGTTCAATTTCAGGTGAGACCACCATGGAGCAACCAAAGCGTGCTTCAAGCTGAAACTCTGCAGTGACAAAAGTCTGAAGGGACAAGCCCAGTCAAGGAACTCGATCGTTTTGAGATTGTCAAGTCCTGCTTCAAGCACACCTGCACACTCCAAGCTTTTGGCCGAGACTGACTGAGGCACGGTCTCTGCTCGGGAGTGGGTGCAGGACCTGTCCATTTGCCTGCAAGGCACTGACGAGCAGCGGAAGGATTTGGTCTTTCGTATCTTGGCCTTTAGAAGATTCTGGTACGGTTGCAACCGTACAGCTTCTTTTCAGATGCTATTGTCAAAGCATTTCTTTCAGACAGATGCTATTGCAGCTTCTTTCTTTCGTTCTTTGTTACACTGGTGCTCCTGGCCTTACTATTAGGAGCAAGGACGCTACTAGGGGCTCCTGGCCTTACTACTAGGAACAAGAAGCTACTAGGGGCTCCTGGCATCACTAGTAGGAGCAAGGACGCTACTAGTGCCGACATGCTCAAACAAAACAGTCGACTCTGCGAAGCAAGGCATGTTCGCGGACGAGACCGGTGTGATCCCAGCACAGGCGGCTACAGAGCTGATGAATCTGGGCTGAAGTGAAGTCTCACAGCGTTCAAAAAGGCTCTTTTGAAGGGAAACAAAAGAAGATTTGACTGGGTCCCTCCTTTTCAAGGTTCGCTTTTAAAGGGAACCCAAATGAAAAAAGGGGCCCAGTCGGACCTTCTCTTGTATCATCTCTTGAAAGACTTCGCATTTGGATGCCTTCTGGGCAGACAACAGGGGTAGTGTTGTCAGATATCTTTTAGGCTCCATCTAAAGAACGCTAACATGTTTATGAAACTTTTGTTCAGATTCTCCTCTGCTTCGAGAAACAATGCATGTCTTGACACCAAGGGCAACCGCGCAAGCTGCAGCCTCCATCTTCACACAGCCAGTGTGTCTGAGCATTTTCATTCAGATGTTCTTTTTCTTTGTTTCTAATAGCGATGGCCTCCAACCTACTTGCGATGGCCTCCACCCTAGTAGCGATGGCCTCCAAAGATGTTCTTTTTGTTGCAACTGCTGAAGTCTGGAGCTCTTTCTTCAACTGCAGACAGTTATAGAGCTTTAGAGTCAAGAATGCCAAGGCCGGATGATTCCGCGACATCATTACCTTTCACTTTGTTCGAACACTACGCTTCTGTTACAAGAGATAATGAAGGTATATAAGGGCTCCTTTCTTTGAAAGACTCTTATAATCATAATTTTTTTCAATTCTTCATTTCAATCTCCTTTTTAGGCCGTAACAAAGTGCCATTGCCAGCCATTGCAGCCAAGGCAAAGTCGAAGGGCCTTGCGGAGGGAGACTTCCTGGGCCTCCGACGCCGAGGAGATCGCTCAGGCGAGCAGATCGAGCAGATCGACCGTGTCCTTTCCATCGGCCCTAGGCTCTGGGCCATGCGGTGCGCATCGATCTCAAGCTGCTTGGACAAACTGATCTGAGGGATGAGCAACTGGTACATAGGTGTATCACACCAGAGCAGCGCGTTGTAAGAATCTTCCGAAAGGCCCATGCAGTTCATAAGCGTGAGGATAGCCACGAGCATCACGATGCATCACGCAGCGCCCCCATTTCCGATACCTTCCCTTCAGGATGCCACCGCTGCATGCGTCGGACGAGCGGGTCATCATTGAAAAGATCAACGACAAGTTCAGCCCGGATTCGCCCGGAAATGTCGGGGACGTGTGGTGCGCCAAGAGTTGCCAAGAAACGCAAAATGCGCAGAGATACACTGTTTGAACCTGGTGGACTGCGGAGGGACACCGTTTTTGAAGGTACCTAATTCCAGCACGTTGGTGGAAGCAATGGCTGGATGCCCAGGTCTCGCAGCCCCCACTGTCATTATCCCCTTGCCACACCTGTGAATAGCGATGGCCTCCAACCTAGTTGCTTGGTTGCTTCCCTGAAGCCACAAAATGTTTGCTGTTTTTGAGATAGCTTTCTTGATGAGAAAAACTGCGCTTTGTTTGCTGCTTTGCAGTTTAGGTTGGAGTTTACCTCGACCGAGACCAACTCACGTGAGCAGGCTGTGAGCGCCGACAGCGCTCTGGAGCACCGAACGTTTGGGGTGGTGAGCCGCTACAAGAGGTACCCGTAGCTAGCTTAAGTAAGCTACAAGAAGGTAGGATGCAGGATAGCTCAAGCGCTCGCACTATTCATGCTCCGAGATTTTTAGGGACACTTCACTGATAATTGCCATGGCCTCCAACCTACTAACAAGTCTTTTTTATTGTAAATTTGAATGATAGCTCGCTGGCAGGGCCCTCCTTCCATCGACAACACTGGCTTGGTTGACGCGGAAGACTGAGGCTGTTGAAGGAATTGGACTTGAAGTGATTTGGAGTTCAACATAGATTCAATCTTTATTGAGTTCAATCTTTATTGAAGGATGCTCCGTTCGTAGCGATGTCAGGAGCCCCTAGTAGCGAACATTGCTACTACTAGTAAGGCACTTGTTTCTAATAGCTTCTTGTTACTACTAGTAAGACACTTGTTTCTAATAGCTTCTTGTTACTACTAGTAAGGCACTTGTTTCCAAAAATAGCTTCTTGTTACTACTAGTAAGGCACCTGTTTCTAATAGCTTCTTGTTACTACTAGTAAGGCACTTGTTTCTAATGGCTTCTTGTTACTACTAGTAAGGCACTTGTTTCTAATAGCTTCTTGTTACTACTAGTAAGGCACTTGTTTCTAATAGCTTCTTGTTACTACTAGTAAGGCGCTTGTTTCTAATAGCTTCTTGTGACTACTAGTAAGGCACTTGTTTCTAATAGTTTCTTGTGACTACTAGTAAGGCACTTGTTTCTAATAGCTTCTTGTTACTACTAGTAAGGCACTTGTTTCTATTAGTTTCGTGTTACTACTAGTAAGGCACTTGTTTCTAATAGCTTCTTGTTACTACTAGTAAGGCACTTGTTTCTAATAGCTTCTTGTTACTACTAGTAAGGCACTTGTTACTACTAACATATATTCAACATTTAACCAGAGCGACCTTGGGAGCCCCCGAGGCTCGTGACTTTCTTCGGATTGGTTTGTCGGAAGGGGTCGACTATGAGGCGAAACAACAGGGTGACCGGAACCGGCGAGTGAAACGCGGAACTCGTGCGAACTGTGTGGGTCGAAGTTTTCTCTGGAGCAACTCCAAGCCTTTCTCCGTTTCTCGTTTTTGTAGCGATGCCCTTTGTTCCGTTCGTAGCTTCTTGTTCCTAGTAGCACGGCCAGGAGCCCCTAGTAGCGTCTTTGCTCCTAGTAGCTGTCGCCTTTGAACCGGTATCGGAATTCGGGTTTGCCGCAGGTTTTCGTGTCCCTCTAGAAAAGACGTGTGAAAGGGGACCAAGTCTGCGTTAACACAAATGATGTGCTTTGTGTCTGCAGCCACACTGGCTCTTTGGATCGTCCGTGGCCATTCTGTGCAGGCGCTTCGGTAGTTCCGGTAAATTGGGACTTGGGTAGTTTGGACGGTGACGACTTTCATGAGTTGAGGACTTTGTACACTTGGATCACTTGGGGCTCCTGGCTTTGCTACTAGGAACAAGAAGCTATCAGGATCACCATTCATCATAGGTTGATCAATACCTGTCTAAAAAACACAGCACGAACCTTACTCCTGGCAAGCTTTCTGGCCACACAGTTGTGTAGTTCTTTCAGATGATATTGTTTCTTTGTATTTCGTCTATATATGTATGTATATAAAGGACCCTACTAGGAGCAAAGGGCATCGCTACTAGGGGCAAGGACGCTACTAGGGGGCTCCTGGCCTTACTACTAGTAGCTTCGTCAAAAAGGGGCTGACTTGAGTTTGATAGGTGCCTCGGCCTTTGAAGCCATGAGAAGGCCCACCTGAGCGGCTGTAAACTGAGTTGTTCAGTTCTCACGAGTGGATATGAGTCGACACTGCACAGCGGAACTAGAGCTATGAATGACTACGGAGTCATTTTTTTTTGTTCATCTCGATGTTCAAGTCGGCTTCTTAGCGACTCGGATCAGCTCGATACCCCACATGGCCATGAGAGACGTCACCGCAGTCGAAAGCCGTTTCGAAAATACTGGATAGAGGCCATCGCTGCTTGGAGGCCGATATGAATTTAACAAGAAGCTACCAGGGGCTCCTGGCATCGCTACGAATGGAGCATTCTTGCTACGTTCGTAACAAGAAGCTTCTAGACATGTTTCGGGGGTTTAGGGCCTCTCGGCCGGGCGAGCCGTCTCGGTCACCCACAGGCGTGGTTCCATCTTACCGGATGAGCCGGCCGACGCAGTCCGGGCAACGGCAGCAGCGGCACCTGCAGAAGCAGAGGACCTGAGTCGAAACGAAGTCGAACATCAGGTGTGAACAACTACCTCCTACCCGTAGGTGACACAACTACCGGAATGGACTCAACATATCTCAATCACTGCTCCTAGAAACAAAGATGTCCTTTTTTGGGAGACCCATTTTCCAGGAAGCAGTTCGATGCCTTTGCACAGAGCTGGCAGGAGATGCCCGAACTTCCCCGCTTGATGGGACGCATCTCCCTGAGATTGGACCAAACAGAGGCAGGTCTGATCAATGATTTGTTCAGCAGCAGGTCTGTTCAGTAGAAAGAAGCTACGCACGGTGGAGGCCATCGCTATTAGCTTGGAGGCCATCACTACGAACGTAACAAGAAGCTACTAGGGGCTCCTGGCCTTACTACTAGGAGCAAGGACGCTACTAGGGGCTCCTGGCATCGCTACTAGGAGCATTCTTACTACTAGTAACAAGAAGCTACGAACGAAAGCATCGCTCATTTAAGATCCGTTTTGTCCCAGGCCTCGAAGCCTTCGTCCACTTCTCGAGAGGAGGTCAGCCTCGTTCCGTCGGTGTGATCTTAGTGACGGGTGCGGACACCGCAGAGTTTCTTCGTTTGAGATCTGGGCCGATTAAAAAAAGTCCTTGATTCGAAGGGTTTGCTCCCAAACAGAGATTCTACGTGAACTGGTAGCTCTGGCAACAACTGGTAGCTCTGGTAGCTCTTGCCAGTTTCGTGTGGAAGGACACGGCCGTCGCCTTGCGTCAGGACACCGCCTTGTACCGTCAGGCAGCCCAGGCGGAGCAAGAACGGCAGCGCGCCTGGCGGCGATGGGTGCAGAGTCCAACGACGTCGATGCCTGGCGATGTGGGCGGGGCCGGGCGCGCGGGGCACCGCTGAGTTTTCCAGACGACTCTTAGGGGGGCGCGTTAATTGCAACAGTAAGCGGGGTAATTCCAGAGAGAAACAAAGGCACGTTTTTTGCAACAGTTGCGTTTTCTGCGTCGGTACAGGCGCGTTTTTTGCACAGGTACCGTCGCAAAAACCCCCGGTTCCCGACGCACCCCGAGCCCCGACTCTTACCATTCTGACGACTCGTTGGATATTTGCTCGCAGTTGCTAGCTTAACAAGAAGCTAGTAGAAACAAGTGCCTTACTAGTAGTAACAAGAAGCTATTAGAAACAAGTGCCACGCTACTAGTAACAAGAAGCTAGTAGAAACAAGTGCCACGCTACTAGTAACAAGAAGCTAGTAGAAACAAGTGCCACGCTACTAGTAGCAAGAAGCTAGTAGAAACAAGTGCCACGCTACTAGTAACAAGAAGCTAGTAGAAACAAGTGCCACACTACTAGTAACAAGAAGCTAGTAGAAACAAGCGCCACGCTACTAGTAACAAGAAGCTAGTAGAAACAAGTGCCACGCTACTAGTAACAAGAAGCTAGTAGAAACAAGTGCCTTACTAGTAGTAACAAGAAGCTATTAGAAACAAGTGCCACGCTACTAGTAACAAGAAGCTAGTAGAAACAAGTGCCACGCTACTAGTAACAAGAAGCTAGTAGAAACAAGTGCCACGCTTTGAGGAAAGATTTCGTGAAGCTGGCAGACAAACTCGAACCAGGCGAGCCCGAGCCTGAGGGTGCCAGATGGAGATATCGACCAGCTGTGCAGGCTGGCGCATCAGCAGGCCCATCCTATGCTGCGTAACGAGGAGTAGCAAGAGCTGTCGCAACCGCCCTTTGGCTTTCGCCATTTTCTGAATCCTTTTTTTGCCGCATCCAGTCGTTTTGGCGGTGATCGGTTGCTGGTCACCTCTCCTTTTGGTTGCTATCTTATAATCTTGTTTGTTTGATCTTGCTTTCAGATTTGTGAGGGGTTTCTCTCCCTCTCTCTCTCTCTCTGTTGCACTGCTCAGTTGCCCCATTATTTGCGAGGAGCTGGTGCAAGTGCAAGGAGGATTCTCTGGACGTGCGCTCAAGCAAGGCACCTTATGTTCTGGAAGTCCCTGACTCAGGGACCACGAAGAGACTCGGAAGAGATGAGATGAAGAGGATTGAAGAAAGCGACTGGCGTTTTCAAAGAAACGGTCTCCAGGCATCTAGGATCTTATTGTCAAGGGTGGACACAGATACATTTGGAGTCATACCAACACGGACCCAAAAGCAATCGGCTCAGCAAGGACCCCCAAGACACCTACTTCAGCGGCTTGTGGTCCTCAAGCCTAAAGCCAATCGAAAGACAACACAATTGAGCTCAATTGCTCAGACAATGATGCAATGCATCTGGCCTATTTTGGCGTGAAGAAAAAAGGAACCCGAGGAAGCCAGGCGTTTATGGAACAAAAAGGCAGAGCCTGGCAAGTGACGCCCAAGTTGCACGGCACAGTAGCGGATTGCAACTACTTGTGGCTGTGGCTTCAACAATGGACCACTCATGCATGAGCAATGCATCCACTTTGAGATCTCATTCCACAAGACGATAAAGTGATGCAAAAGTGAAAGGGATGCACAGAGTGAAAGGGAACAGCCATTGTTTGAAGCTGTTAAATAGGTTCTTTAGACGCAGATACGGCTTTAATTTTAGCTTGGGTCGTTAGATGTTAGATGTGTCAGGGCCGATCCAGGTAGGCCAGTGTGGCAAGCTGTCAAGACTAAGGTTGGAGAGGCCCCCCATTCTTCTGAAAGGCATGCACTGCAGCGAAAGGCATTTTGTGAACCTGAGAAAGTCATACTATTTTCTGCATTTCAGTAGGGTTGTTTCAATCCTTGTTGACCAAACAGAAAAACCTACCACATCGTTTCAACTTCCACCAGTTCTATGCGTTTTTGAAACGATGTGCCTTGTGTTCTCTTTCGTGCTAACGTTGTGCAGGGCCCTTTGAACCATTTGATGAGACCATGGAATTCCATCGGCTGAGAGCAGCCAAGTGCTTCGGTGATGAGCGTGGGGCGTGTAGGATGGATGCATTACGTTTTTTGTGTTTGACGTGTAAGGATTTGAATCTTTGGACCGATTCTTTCTTTGACGCATTTCATCTAATCAGATCTTCCACGTTTGCTCACAGCCAATCTCATGGACCATGAGGCCTCTTGGCTTCCACAAGTCGAAAAGCGCCAAACGTCACCGAACATTTTGGGCCTGGGGCCGCCCATGTCAAGCGTTGGAGAGCTTCAAATACAGACATTCTACTTCGGCTGCTCTAGAAAGATAAGTCTTAAGTAGTGATAACGTGATAAGATGCGTCATATTTGGAGCTCCCACTAGCCGTAGCCCCAGCCTGCGTACAGCTGAGCCCAAAGTGCTCCGCTGCAGACAAAACTGTGGCGACCCCTTTGGCGAGAGAGTGGGCAAGATTCGCTGCACTTACAGCTTGAAGGCCAGTGTTGTGAAGTCCTAGGTGAAATATGGTGAAACGTGAAACTGAAGCTGAATAATTACATAATTACATGTTTGTTCCCACCAAACCTCTTTGGGACAGGATGTGAATTCCAATCGGCTAGAACTGATCAAGCAATTTGTCAGGTTTTAGCTCCAATCTAGAAGCGATTCTATCAGAAGTACATTTCCTTTTTGTGCGAAAAAGGACAGTTGAGCTTTCCCAAGAACTTGCCCAGTTCGTGGCGTTCGTTCTAACTAGTTGGGCCACATGTGTCCGCGGGGAACGAGCCCCAAGAGCCGTTTCACGCGGAGCTTTAGCAGAAAAGTAAGCGCCCGAGCTGCGCTGGGCCTGGGCAGCTAGCCTTGTTGAGGATACGAATGCAGAGATTGCCATCACAGGACCAACTGAGCATCAAAGGTGTTGCCTGAAGAAATGACTTGCCATTCTTTCTCCCACTCGGCTTAAACTCGAAGGTATGCTGGGAACAAGGACGCTACTAGGGGCTCCTGGCCTTACTACTAGGAGCAAGAAGCTACTAGGGGCTCCTGGCATCGCTACTAGGAGCGATCGGACGCTACTAGGAACGGGGGATGTGACCTTGGACCATTTCGCATCCATCGGTCGCCGGACGTAGGTGGTCAAGAAGCACGCCTGGTGTGCCTTGGTGGCTTGGTACGACCTCCAGGGAATTGAGCTGCCACGCAAGGCGGAGTTTTTGTTTCGAAGCTTTGTGCTGTTTGTAATATTGTTCTTCCCATGTTCAATTTGTTTTTGTCTGAAGACGCAGAAAGGCAGCAAGAAAAACCTGTTTAAAGATAAAGTGGAACACACAAACAAGAAAAGAAAAGCACAACAACAAATTGACCATTTGTCCATCCTTCACATCCTTGATTCTCTGAAGCAACCCACTGGGCAGGTCATCGAAGTTGATGGTCACATGGAGCTGGAGATGTACCCATTGCGGCTGCACATCAGCCGCACGGATCAGGACAGATAGCTTTATCGAAGAAGGCTTTGCAGATCTTCAGAGAGACCTTTCTTCCCTTTCTTGACATCATAGTCATACTGAAGGCTTCGCCGATCACCCTTTTTGATTTGCATCTTGCCTTAGAAGTTGGCAGGCGGGCAACATCATGTTGCTCGAGAGGACGCTCGAGCCAGGGCCTTGGTGGAGGAAAAATCCACTCAGTAGCAAAGAATCATTGAAACAACCAGATTCACCTTGCTCCATCTCTTCCAGCGTTGTACTGCCCGTCGTGCTCGACTTGTCCACATTTCTTTTTCCTTCTGTTCGCGGGCCTTCGGTTGAGGATCAGTCGTACAGCCCTGGCCAGCGAGACTAAAGAGGTGGGACTTGTCATGTTCTTTGGTGAACTTTCTTTGGTAAGTGGGGGGGTAGGCCGCTAGTAAAGGAGGTGTAGCTAGTAGAAGTAGAATGGTAGCTAGTAGCTTAAGTAGCTACTAGCTACTGGAGGCAGGATAGCTCACGCTCCCGCACCATTCATTTGGTTCCTAGATTTTGAGGGACACTTAAGCAAATGTCCAATATAAGGGTAGCTCCCTAACGAAGCAAAAGCGCTACAACGCCTAGGATGCGACGGACACAGCGGACACAGAGAGTACCAACCCATCGTGCCGAAACGGTTTTCGGAATATCTAGGAGCAAGAAGCTACTAGGAACACAGGGCATTGTCATGGCAATATCGGCCGACGGAACCCACCCAGAACCGTTGCGGCTCTTGACGGGCACGCGAGAGCTGACCCTCCGCTTCGTGCTTCGTGTGCTTCGTGCTTTGCGCATTCTTAAAGCCTTACACTTATTTAGACAGCTGTGGAAACCTGACTTTGCACCTGCCAGACAAAACACAATTACAAATCTGATCTGCAATGGTCAGTAGTTTGGTGAGGATAAACCTTATGCCTTCCGAAAGGCACATCAAAGAGTTTTCCTTCTTTGATCACACTGAACTATCAATTTGCTTGTGTTCTTATTAGGTTGGGGGGCCATCGCAAGTAGGTTGGATCTCAAGTAGGGTGGAGGCCATTGCTATTTGCGTGTGGAGGCCATTCTCTTCGCTTTTTAGGAGTCAGAGACTTCTTGCTCCTAGTAGCGAGGCACTTGTTCCTACTAGCTTCTTGTTACTACTAGTAAGGCACTTGTTACTAGAAGCGATGCACTTGTTACTACTTGCTTGGAGGCCATTCTCTTCGCTTGTTTGGAGTCTGAGAGAATTCTCCAAACTTGACTGTGGAGGCAGCGCGATTGCTGCACGGCATTGAAGAATCGGATTTGGTGCTGAAGTCAGAAATGCATGCTGAAGTCGGTCCAAGTCATGTTGAAGAACAGTATCTAATCTAGATGATCAAACTTGTTTGACTTTGCAAGAGCCCCACGGATGTTCATTTAAGCAGGTGAACCCCGCAAATGGATTTACCATGGTAGGTCCTAAGTCCTATGTGTTTGCGTTTCGAGGTACTTTGCCACAGAGTCCATCAAGACCAAGAATTTGCAGAGGTGGATGAGCGCAAGGGTCTCAGAGACACTTGAATGAAAGCTCGGTCCCAGGTGTTTTGTATACACAGATATGTAATCCTTTTTGCAGTCGATCAACTTCCAGAAGCACTTGTGCTTCAGACAACTGAGATATAGCCTTGCTGAGGTCAAACTCTGCACGCGTTGCACTTCCTGGATGGTCATCAGTATCTCGACACTCTAATAAAAAACCGATCGTGCCATCCAACCAGACCCATTTGACTGGTTTGACCACCCTGAGTTTTCAGTGCTTGACGAAAGTACTTGCCATTGTTACTTTCTTTGCCCCCTTCCTGAGGCTCTTGCTAAGATTCCGCAGTGCACCTGCCTTGCGTCCAAACTGCCACCGCCTGGAAACCAAGACAGCTCTACAGTTGGACGTCTTGAGGAAGCAATTGTTACTAATAGCTTCTTGTTACTACTAGCAAGGCACTTGTTATTAGTAGCGAGGCACTTGTTCCTAGTAGCTTGTTTCTATGAAAGCAAAGGTCAAGTTTGCGATCCAAAGCATCTCAGCCAGATATCTTGAAGTGTGCAGGCCTCCCGAGCGGGAAGAACCATGGCCATGTAGGGTTGCAGAACCTGGGTGCCTTGGCGGAACCGGATTTTGCATGATGGCATTATAGTGAAGCTGCATGATGCTTGTTACACGTTTACCAGAGCCGCCCTGGCGGACAGAGATTGACATGAAGCAATTCATCAGCGATGTGCAACATCGTTTCAAGGCAATACGTGCTACATGAACGCGGCGATTCAATGCACGTGCCTCAGTTTGTGCGAATCCTTTGAGGTGGCTTCAATTCGAACAGCCCGAAGGACACATTTGCTGTGAGTGGCTGACGCCACAACTTAACACCTTCAAAAGAAGGCTTTCTGGCTAGGTTGGAGGCCATCGCTAGTAGTAGTAGTAGTAGTAGTAGTAGCAGTAGCAAGGGGGTAGTTTGCTACCAGTTGAGTTCTAGTAGTCGTAGTGGACCGAGGTCCGAGGGGAGCAAAACAAGCCAAAGCAACTCCAGCGGTAGTGGTAGCAGCAGGACAAAGACCTTGTGCTGAGGTTTGGTCCACTCGCCTTTGCTTCCGGAGTACTTCAAGTCAGAGTGCGACATCACACCAGTCGGTAGCAAACTGCACTGCAGAAGGATGTTCCTGGGCTCTCTTGAGGGATCAAAGCGACACGATACATGACCAACGCCTGCACGCTGAAGTATGAGACACGAGGGGATGCATTGCTGCATGAGGTACAAATTCGATGTGAATCTGAACACCAAGTTTGGAATGGCCAACGCCTTGGTACTTGGCGATGTTGGAAAGTGCCGTTGATAAGAATTGCCAAGACCGAAAAGTGCAACGTGAAACTAGTCAACATATATTATACATGATTGAGATGCTTGACTTCGGGACTTAAGGCCGGGAAACTGGCCGTGGCTTTCGCCGAGCTTCTACGAGACATTCACAACGCCCGGGAAACAGGCCAAGAACTGCGCTCGACGCTGTCGTATAGGTTGGAGGCCATCACTCTTAGGAGCAAGGACGCTACTAGGGGCTCCTGGCCTTACTACTAGGAGCAAGGACGCTACTAGGAACTAAGGGCATCGCTACTAGGGGCTCCTGGCATCGCTACTAGGACGCTTTTGCGACGCCGCGGTGCTTCAAGTCAACCCGATCGTCGGAGACATCTTGAGGCTCTGGGGTGGTGGCCCCAAGGGACTTCAAGCGGATCTTCTCAGACTTCAAGCCGCAGTTTGCCGGGTGGAAACAGCAGGAGAAGACCGAAATCACGCCGTGAAATCAAACATGTTTGATGGAATTCGTTTTACGCAGCTTGGCTGGCATGGCCTCCAACCTACTAGCAATGGCCTCTAACCTAATAGTGGTGTCCTCCAACCCAATAATGGCCCCCAACCTACTATCGATGGCCTCCAACCTAGTAGCGGTATCCTCCAACCCACTAATGGCCTCCAACCTGCTAGCGATGGCCTCCAACCTACTAATGGCCTCCAACCTGCTAGCGATGGCCTCCAACCTACTAGCGATGGCCTCCAACCTGCTTGGGTCCAGATACATATGATTTGCCTTTTTCGCTTCATCTGGCTTCGGTGCAGCACTAGCTAGGCAAGTAAGACGGCAGCCCCCGTCTGCTTGCTGTCAGAGGGTTTTATTTTATTTTTTACAAAGATACTGGCCTGATCGTAGAGTGCTGTCCTGTCGAGGCGTTCTGACAGACAATTTCTGGCTTGGCCGTTCCCAGTCTGTAAGAATGCAGCCTGCGCATCGGTCTATTGAAGGCCATCGCTCTTAGGGAGGCTATCGTTTAGGTTGGAGGCCATCGCTTTGGTTCAAAACGCCCAGTGACTCAATGCCCTTTGCTTACTGACAAAGTCCCCTTTGCGGAACTTGGTCGTTTGGGGTAGCCATTCCGTGATATGCTGCGTTGCCGCGTCACTGCTTTTTGAGCATGACATGTCCGTCTTGCCCAGTCAATTTCATGGATGAAGCGCGACTCTCAAAACCAAAACCCTTGCTATGGCCTCCACCTAATAGCGATGTGCACGGTGTCTTCAGGCTGTGGATTCTTGGAAGAAGGCACCTTTGGGATGCGGATCTCTAAGGATATGGCCAGTACCCATCAGCCCAAAGTCTACAACCATTCTTGCCCCGGTAGAGCCATCCCATCACAGATACTTTGATGGCTGCACTGGAAGAGTCTGCAACTTGCTAAGCCCCTTGACAAAGTTCCCCTTGACTAGATGAAGAGATCATCCACAAACCAAGTGACAAGAAAACCTTCGCGTGGGCAGTGGGCAATTCAACGCTTTTACGCCATGACAGCCCGGGAAGCGGATGGGGCCAAGAAACCTGAGCCAAGTCCGCCTGAGGGCCAAAGATGACATTGACAAGTTTTGCATGCAAAAAAATGAAGCAACACCTAGACTGAACTTTGGGCAGGCTGCTGCAAGAAAAGGGCAAACTGCAGCACTACCGTGAACATCATGACCTTTCATTCTGCTGTTTCCAACCTCACTGCGACCTTACACCTCCACTTAATCGCGAGATAAAACCCTCGTTGGATGGTATTCAAACTTTTGCATAATCTTGCAGCCATGAGTTTGCACTTGGTTGCACTTTGTATGCCTCCTTGGCCATCGCTAGTAGGTTGGAGGCCATTGCTATTAGGAACAAGAAGCTACTAGGTTGGAGGCCATCGGTACTGGTGAGGATTCCCAAGAATTCCTCTCGATGTTTCTGGCCGGACTGAGCTCAGCATCCCAGTCCGGAGACGAGTTTGGCAAGCCAAGTGACATGTTTTTGAACGCTCCATGAATGGCCATGACTTGATGGTTTGACATACGGTGTGTGTCAACATGACTCGCGAATTGTACCTAGTAGCGAACATTGTTCCTAGTAGTACGGCCAGGAGCCCCTAGTAGCGTCCTTGCTCCTAGTAGCGTCGACTTGAGGTGAAGACGTGAACCGCACCACCAAAAAACCCTACCGAGAGCTGAAAGACTCCGAAGGCCGCCCGGACGACGAGGCCGCTGTTCGGCCGCGCTGTTGGGCTGGCCGTCTGAAGATGTCCAAGATGCAAAGAGGATCAACAACGTCACAAGTGTTGCCTCCTTTCCTTGGCCGGCCAAAGAGAACAGGTGATGGGTATTCCTTTATGCTCCAGAAAGAACAGACTGTGAAAACTTGTGTTTTCTATTGTTTTCTTAATGACCCTGTGATACTCGGCTCGCCTTTTTGAATGGGCTGTCAGCTCAACCAACCTTAACTTTATAAAGGATCATGTTTCTTACATTTTTGCTTCTAGGGTTTGAGGCCATCGCGCCGTCGCTATTAGGTTCTGGAGGCAGGAACACAAACTGTTCTTTTCGTTTCAGGTGGCCTTGGAGTACTGGCAGGCTCACTGTCTTCGTGAGGCCACGAGATTCGGAAGGAACCCATCCAGCTATAGCTATCCGCTTCAGATTTCAAGAATACAAGTAAAGGCAGTCAAGGGTGAGCAGTTGAGTCCCACACTTCCGAGCACACTTGAGCTTCACCGGAGCACGTCGCCAGCGCTCTGCTGTGGCGGCGCTCTTCTCGGGACAGTTCCGCTCGGTCCTGCGGTGTCAGAAATGTGGCCGGAGACCTCAACAGCGTCGGCGAGTCTGATCTCAGCGTCGTTTGACACACCAGCGGCTTGGTATGTGATCTGAAACATAACGAAGTGTTATTATAGTGAGACTTTCCGGTGAAAGTTTCATGAGAACTTAAGAAGAACTCGGACCTAAGTCGCTGCTTTGCCTTTGAGGTTATACGAACCATTCGTTTGAAGCCTTCAGCTTCCTTCCCATTCCCATCCCTGAGCACGAGTACCGTGGAAAGCCCAGAAGAGGGTATAAAGGCACTGGAGTGACTTCCATGGCGAACTGGAGTTTCTACATCTTCAGAAGCAGGCGCATGATGATATGTTTTACCGCATGCAAGGCATATGCAAGCATGCTATATGTGGAAACAGCTACAACAAGTTCTGTTCTGTTTTGACACCGTTGGCCATTGCTGCAATTTACACCCAGGTTGGGTCACCTGCATGGTCGTCAGTGCATCACGCTCGGTTGCCCAGGACAGAACTGGAGGTCTTGCACAATTCGTTGGGAAAACCCAAGACTATGTAATTGAGATAACTCTGAATCAAGCTGAGGCCCACCAGCACAGCACATCACTCGTGCAGGGAATCCCAAGTGGGAGAAACTCGGATGGAGTGCTTCAGACTTTGAGGTTTGTGGAGGCCATTGCTATTAGGTTCCTTATGCTATTAGGTTGGAGGCCATCGCTACTAGGGTGGAGGCCATCGCCACTAGGGTGGAGGTTATCGCTACTGGGGTGGTGGCCATCGCTCTTAGGATGGAGTGCTTTGGACTTTGAGGTTTGTGCACGTGTGCCAAAGCAGGGCACCTTGAAGGACCTGCTCGAAGCGTGGCACTCGGAACTCAGAAATAGGATAATGGTAGAGTGAGAAGAAGGGTTCTTTGAACAGAGCGTGTTCTTATTTTATTACTGTGAGGGATGCTCAAGCGCCAAACCCAAGACCCTTCAGAAGTGATTGAACTGTTTGGAAACTGGGTGATCATGGTTGATGCCTTTTTGACATGTGAGTGGGAGCGCACTGCAGTGCACCACTGTGCACTCGACAACCTGTGTAACGCAGTGATTGCCGTGCTGTGCCTGTGGACTGTAGCCTTTCAGCGTCGAATTGGCATTTGGCCAAGAAGGTCACCGGGGTATTCAGCACGGTGCGCCTTACACTGGTGAAAAATGCCATGGAAACACAGCTGCTTTCTCGATTGCGGGGTCCAGCACTTGCGCCAGAGGCTCGCTTTCTGATCGTTTACCGTTGGTCCAGTGGCACTTTTGTCCACTTTTGCCCGCACATCCAGGACCTGGATAGTATTGCTGCGTCCATTCGCAGCAGTCCAACTGTACGGTTGGCCCTTGCTGGTGTCAAAGCTTTTGGCCGCCTCGAGTGCACATTACGCTCAAGTACTCCTTGTAATGAGCACACACGAGAGATGCAGTGACACTCTCTTGCTAAGGGATCTTTTTGTATATCTTTCGTATTCATTCCTTCCAGAGTCTCCGCCCTTAGGGAGTTTCAATGAGTTTTCATGAGAAAAAACATGTTTCGGTCTCTTGACCACTGAAATCAGGTCGCCAGGGGCGGTGGCAAGAAAGCCTCAGTCCCTTGGATCTGCTCAGGATTGCCAGGTCTGGCTCTTGCAATGGTAAGAGCGATGGCCTCCAACCTACTAGCGATGGTCTCCAACCTATCACTCGTGGTATTTGTTTCATTTTGTTTCTTTGTCCGATTGTCCTCATTTTTGATCGATTCAATCCGCACCATGCTCTATATACAAACAGAAGCGGTGCACCGTGGCTAAGTTTGAAGAGTAGCAAAACAGAGAGCTCCCGCAGTGACCGTTGTAACACAGCTTTCTCAACAAGAACCTGAAACTGTTTGAACCATTCATTCCTTTGACTCTGACTCCGACTGACTAGAAGCATTTGCAAGCTGACCAAGAGTTCCTAGGCTTCCTGGACTCCTTGCATGAATGCCACTTGCAGCGGCACCTCTACTGCTACAGCGCGGTCATGAGCTGCCTCGAGGAGCCACTCTGACGGACTTGTGTGAAGACAACCGAGACCAAAGATCTCGTTCTGTATCCGAATCCCACATCCTTTTAGGTTGGAGGCCATCGATTTTAGGTTGGCCATTGCTAATAGGTTGGAGGCCATCTGTTAGGTTGGCCATCGCTGTTAGGTTGGCCATTGCTAGTAGGTTGGAGGCCATCGATTTTAGGCTGGCCATTGCTACTAGGTTGGAGGCCATCGCTGTTAGGTTGGCCATCGCTGTTAGGTTGGCCATTGCTAGTAGGTTGGAGGCCATCGATTTTAGGTTGGCCATTGCTAGTAGGTTGGAGGCCATCGCTGTTAGGTTGGCCAT